TATATATATATTTTAACATTCTTTTTATAGATACAAGTATTTTAGTAAATGCTCTGTTTATAATAAATAGTATTAAATAACATTTACCGGCCTGAATGTCCAAGAAATTTTCAGGATTCGAACCTGTATCCTATACGGAACCGTCATATAGCCTAACATATAAAGACATTCATTGTAAGTATATTTTCTTATTTTAATTTATATTGTGTCAAAGCAGTAGTCCTGCTGGATGGGGGCAGCAGTAATTCCATATTGGGGGGCCCTTAAAACACTCTCAATACGTGTTTCTTGTATTCAAGATAAAACACACACACACACACATATATATATATATATATATATATATATATATATATATATATATATATATGTGCGTGTGTGTGTGTGTGCATGTGTGTGTGTTTGTATGTATATTAATAAATATACATATTATCCCTCACTTATGTGTAATAAAATTATATATATATATATATATATATATATATATATATATATATATATATATATATGAATGAAGGATTTGATACCACAGAACAAATATAATGACTTAAAAGGTATAATTCTTACAAGCAACATTTCTTCAGAAGGATAATTTTGGTGCAATGGGAAGGAGACAAAAGACAATACTCATGAAAGGTGAATGGGGAGGGGGTGGAATTTCAGAACAGGCTTAAAACAATTTATTAGTAAAATAATTCACAAATTAAAAGAATATAAATGTTCTGAGTGAGTATAAAAAAGAAAAAAAAATGTTACTCACATCCTCCAACTAACCATAATGAAATTACTCTTTTTATTTACACATGCTTGGTTTGTACATTTTAATATAGACCACTTTTAGAATCTTTAAATGATGAGTTAATCTAGCACTGTGTAAAATAGTGAAAAAATATTGTTCTTATATTCATGAATACTGTCTGGGTTGTCCAATGGGTGCCGATTGATTGCTGAGTCATATATATATATATATATATATATATATATATATATATATATATATATGAAAATATATAGAAAATAGGAAGGAACTGGTTAGGTAAATAATCCAAAGTCCCTTAGTATTTTAGTTATTATTTTTAAAAATAGTGCTCGATACAAAAGTAGAGCATAAATATAATTATTTATTTAAAAATATGATTCCAAAACGTTACATAAAAAGTTTCATGTTTCAAAACAAATTGAGAAAAGCTTTCCATATTCTAATTAAGGTTAAAAAAAATTTTGTTAAAAGATGGAACAGAGCTTATTTTAACTCAATTTAATTTCAAATAATTATATTGAAGTTTTCAGCCTTGTTTTGAAACATGAGACTTTTATGTAGTGTTTTGAATCATATTTTTAAATAAATATATATATATATATATATATATATATATATATATTGTTTAAGGCAAGTCTCAATCTTGCCCTCTTTGAATTCAAGAAACACATATTGAGAGTGTTTTAAGGGCCTCCCAATATGGAATTACTGTTGCCCCCATCCAGCAGGACTACTGCTTTGACACAATATAAATTAAAACAAGAAAATATACTTACAATGAATATCTTCAATGAATTGGTTGAAAATACCTGGGAAAATAATCACTACAAACATTTTCAACATTCTCTTAGTCATCATAAAAGAAAAAAATGTAAGAACATTAGAAAAACTGAATAAAAACTTATAAAATTGTAATAAAACCTTTATAAAAAACATTGCTTCCCAAATATATATATATATATATATATATATATATATATATATAGTACAGGTAACTGATCCGTTGGTATATAATCTTGGTGGATCCTAGTAATATTAATTATTAAAATTGATCCACAGAGAGCTTGATGTATTTATTATAACAGAGCATATATATATTTTACAGCCAAAAAAAAAAAAAAAAAATTACCTCAACATAGGATAGTCTATTTCAAGCCATTCTGTACACGACTATCATCAGCCCCTAAGTGTCTGTCTCAAAGCATTATTTTGAATTCATTTTCAATGTCAGTCCTCCTCTGGTAGATGCCTTGTTAATGAGAATGGATTTGTCTTAGTGACCAGTGAGGGTGTAAGGTATTTTATCCCGGGGTTAGGGTTGGAGTTTATTTATTGCTAGAACCTTTCGTTGTTTGTAGTTTAATATCAGTTCCTACTATGTGGTGTTTCTTATACACACCCCAAGTGTGTTTTTCTGGGATTCACAGTAAATAGTTTTTGTACTACAGGTGTCCATTATTAAGTAGTAAGTGATGGGGGATTTAAACTTAAACCCATTAAGATTAATGTAAATTAGTTGAATTATAGATTTATAAATTGTGGGTAATACTAGAGGACCCAGTAGAATAACTCATGATGTCCAACACACTTCTATGCAAACATATCTTCATACATATATGCCACTATATGCACAAATACACCCCCACATAAATACACATGTATTATGTAATTTTTAATCTATTTCTATGTCTGCATTTCGTGATTAGTTCTCTCTGTTGATTTAATAGTTTGCATTGATCTTTATGTTTTATTATCCTGATTTTTTTTCTTCTAAACATAGCTTGCACCTATCCCTAATACTATTGGGGGTGTTTGTAAAACCTAGAATTTTCCAATTTATTTGAGGATTCAGACCCTTTTCCTTCAATTCCCAAAATTTTTTCGGAAGGGCTGTTTGGTGTTTTAATTTGGGATTGATGAATGAACGTCTATGTATATTGATTCTCTTTTTAAATTCTCCTGCAGAAATACCGATGTAAATATTATAGTTTGTTGTATTTTCTTTAGGGGTTGCCTGGTATACTACCCTAGTGGATGTGCATTTGCCCTCTTATGGGCAGTTTTCTTTAATTCTGCAATTACAGTTGGTTTCCATGTTAGATTTAGATTTTTCCTATGGAATTTACTTAAAATCTAATTGTTATAGGAATTAATAATTTGGTACATATTATCAGTGCAGGAGTAGATAATTTTGATTGACTTCCTGTTGAATATCGTATTTAGAGGATTTTTTTTTTTGTTGAAGTGTTTAGTAATTAAATTTAGGAAGTACTGTCCGATGTTGATACTTGACAGTTTGCAGAAGAGGGAATTGAACCAAATGATTTTTCTTTTCCTATTTTTACACCTACATTCCACTTTTTGTGTATTGTTATTACTAATGGTGGTCGCATAAGACAGCTTACTTTTGAAACCACTTTTATGGAGGGCCTTTTCGTATAGTCCTTTATTCTTACTAAAGATTTTTTCATTGGACTATAGTTTACTAATCCTGGTGCAAACAGTAGTAGGTATTTGTCTTAGGATTGCACTGGGGTGTTTAGAATTTATATTAATATGGCTAGGGGCCTCATTCTCTTTATGTTAAGGTTTAAAGGTTTTGTCGTTAAGGTTAAGGGTGATAACTAGGTAGTCAACTATTTTAAGGTTAGAGGAAATCTCAATCTTCAACCTTAGGAAATTGAAGGTCCTGATAATTTTCTTTTGCAATTTTCGCTGTTAGTGGACCATTACTATTATGGATGAGGATGAGCCCAACATCCCTATACAATCCTATTAGTTCTGGGTTACAATTCTATGAAGAACATCTAAAATGTACAAACATAATAGGTCTTCAACTTAGGCTGAGTCATATGCTATCTAGACCTAGATGAGGTATTGTAATTATTTACATATTTACATTGTTTGGACAGTTGTCCTCATTTTCAATGCTATATTCATGACATTTCGGCCATTGTACATGTGTAATTCTAATCACCTGAAGAAGGCCATTGTGAATATAGCAATAACAATGAGGACAACAGTCCTAAAAATGTAAATAAAAATTTATATATTGCTTTCATATTATATATATATATATATATATATATATATATATGTATATTTTACACACACACAGATATATATGTATATTTTACACACACACACATATATATATATATTACACATAGTAGATCTCATGTTTTTATATATATATATATATGTGTGTGTGTGTGTGTGTGTATGTGTGTGTGTGCAAACATTAAATCTACTATGTGTAAAACAATCCACCCCCGCTGTTTACCTTATTTGAAATACTGAAAATTTAAAATACGATTGCATTAAGAAAATGGCCCCAAATCTATCCTTCTGATATTTATATAAACCAAATGAAAAATTTATGCATTCTTATTAAAAGTCTTAAATTAATGAAAATATGTGCAAATGTGTGCATGTGTGCATGTAGATATGATGCATGCAGAAGCACACACACACACACACACACACACACACACACACACACACACACACACACATAACGTGACTCCTTTCATCAATAAGGTGCAATCTTCATTTAAGAATTAAATTAATCACTTCAGAAATGTTTCCTCTAAATGTTTTTATTATTAACAGCAAATATTTTTATTTGTAATTTTCCATTTGTGATAATTAATTTCTTTCAATCTGATTATAATTCAACTTGCTTCAACTTAATCAGTGTGTATACATTGGAAGTAACGTTTTATACATTTTATGTTAATATTCGTTATCACAAATACCTGCTTGGAGAAGTCCACATGAATTAAAAAAAAAAAAAGGAGATTTTAGATGGATACATGCAGGTTGTGAGAAATGGTGTCAAAGACCTTTTTTTAATCATTTCACCTCAAGCAAGGCAATAAAGTAACTAAGACACAGGGTAAGAGAATATAAGAAAAAAAAAGACATAGATGAATAAATGCATGAATGAGAAATGGGCTCAAGGACCTTTTTTAATCATTGCAGCCCAAGAAGGCGATAAGGCCACTAAGATGCAATAAGTTACTGAGTTTAAGGAAAAACACTATTAAGAAGAGATAACAATAAAAGAACAGGAATTAAGAAGATACAAGATAATGATTGGCATTGCATTTAATTTTTAAAAGGTTAAAATTGATTGGATAGCAAGAAGCCTAAAGAGAGTTCCACAAGCGAGAAGTGAGAGAAGAAGAAATAAAATTCTTTTTTGAGAACACCACTTTATTGGTGAAATATGTTGAAGCAAATGTTTTCAAAATTGCCTTATCTATCTATCTATCTATCTATCTATCTATCTATCTATCTATCTATTAAATAAATTATGAAAACTCAAATTTTGTTTAATTTTCTTTCAAAACCTTTTTTTGCAGTATTTTGCAGAATTGGTTTAACAAGTTTATTACCTTTTGGTACAGGGCAACATAATGTAGAAAAGAAACTAGGGAAGAGAATGTTTAGCTGTTAATGACTGTTTTCAGTAAAGGCTACTGCTCCTGCTGCTACTCCTCTTGATGTAGGAGTATTTTTATGTCTGTTGTCTGATGGCTGAGTCCAAACTTCTAGTCCATTTCTTTCTGCAGTAGACCAGTTGACATCCAAGGCTATAGAACCCGGTCTGTCCTGCTATTTATCCATAGCTGGGGGGAGAAGAAGAAGAAGATTCATACCTTTCAAAAGGGTATTAGCCTGTAAGTGAATCTAATGGATTCAACTGGAATTTGAACTTGGCTCTCTGATTCCTCAATCCAAGCCGCTATCCATTAATCTACCGTATAACACCCCTAAATGCTGGGTAGAATTTGCTGAATAATGTGGGTGAATGACGGATTGTATCTGTGTGCAAATAAAAGTAAATGAAAGAACTAATGTTGAGCGAGCGAGCAAGAGAGAGAGAGATAGAGAGAAAGAGAGAGAGAAAGAGAGAGAGAGGGAGAGAGAGGGAGAGTGAGAGTGAGAGAAAGAGACTTCTTAGGAACTAAAAGAAATAAAATCTAATATTGGTTGTTTATGGAAACTCACATGTGAAACAAATAAAGGTAAATGAAAAGAAAGAGAGAGAGATAGAGAGAGAGAGAAAGAGAGAGATAGAGAGAGAGTAAGAGAGAGAGAAAGAGGGAAGAAGAGAGAGAAAGAGAGAGAGAGAGACTTCTTATAGACTAAAGAAAAACAAATAATAAAAAAGAATACTTAAATCTTTAGAATTCATATAATACCCCTAAATGATGGGTAGAATTTACTGAATAATGTGGGTGAATGACAGACTGTATCTGTTTTCCAGGAAGCATAGACTCGTGCATGCAACCTGTACTCTAGGGAATCACTCACTGATACATGAAGATGCCATGTAAAGATCCTATCCACTAATCAGTGAGGGCAGCTTTACACTGATGCCATATAGACATTGTTAAATTAATTCCTTATGATTACTATAATCTATATCTATAAAAGGCAGGATGTGTGTGTGCATGTAATGAATGCACGGCTGCAATTTTTGATGGATTTGCACCAAAATTTACATGCACATGCTCCAAGTTAGCGGGAAGGCCAAGACTGACTTTGCATTTCCCAACTCCCATTGATAGTGGAAATAATCGATTTTTTCATGCTTCTACGGCACTTTTCATGTAGTTTGCGGCCATTTTGTACTGGCCAGAGTGAGAGCCTATAGCTGGCTGCCACGAATAGGCAGGAAGATTCTATTGGCCAGTGTGAGAGCCAACAGCTGACTGACACGAATGTTAAATAGCATGCTAGCATGCAAAAAAATTCGATAGCTGCATTCGTCACAAGTGGGAAAAATTTAAATCTGCATGGCACTTTACTCCAATTGGCTCATTCACTTGCTTAAACTCAACGTTGATTCTGATTTCGCAGAAGTGGGTTGGGTGTGAAAAAGTATTTGTTGTTAACATTCTTTTTTCATTCGGTTTTTCCAGTTACGAGTCCTTTTTTAAAGCTGATCGTTTTGTGTTCATTTTGTTTAGTTCTTTTATTGTAACAGATTTAATGTTTAGTATAGAGCTTAGAAAAACTTTGCAGTGTGAGATAGGCAAGAAGTAAGGCATGTAGCAACATCAGCACGGCAAAGGGCACTCCTTTAAAGGCAAGGAAGGGCAAAAATATTTTAAGTCAAGTGATAGCGATTACTGTATGAGTCGTACGATTTTTGAATCAAGCACGGGCAATGCCGGGTCATGCTGCTAATTGTTAAATAAATTCCTTATGATTACTATAATTTTAGATAATATAAAAGGTTGAAGCCCTTAGCCAAGGTTTTTCAAACAATATGCCATAGATGTATAGTAAAATTATGAATATGAAATTAAACAAATATTACTCAAAAATACATTAGCCTATTTATCACTATTTCTCGTGGAAATGGTTTATCCCTTGTTTCCTGTTTAATGTCTTCTAAAGTTTACTTTAACTTCTAATGTCTCAAAAAAACTCTGAAATTTTATTCACTAATTAAATCTTCACTTCTTCAATTCCAGAATTAGATGTTATCTTTTCTGCATTGCCCCAAGTACTTCACTTCTTGCCCTTTCTTATATTAATTCAATTCCACAGAGTAACCCTCTATCTTGAGTGGCTCTTGGACCTTGTACTGGGTGAACATTAGTAAAAAAAAAAAAAAAATCCCTAGCAACCTCTTGCGGAATCCTAAGTTTTGGGGGGAACACCAGTTGAGAAACATTAAAGTGAGGATTTGGAAGTGCTATACCATTTTGGGCCTAATCTGACACTTGTTGAGATAAAGCATAACATAACAATTCTGATACTTCCTGGAACAATAGATTGGTAATGATAATGATAATATTATTTCCTTCTAAGGAAATATTCAACATTCACTGACTGAGCAGCCAATGCCACTGTTGGTTGAAATTTATAAAATCTTTCTATTAGAACAGTTTTTCAGTAAAAACTATGTTTCTCAAGTCCAGTAACTGTTATTCCTCTTTTTACTACTGGTAGCAGCTTCCTTCCTAACCTTTTGTTTGAAGTAGTGTGGAACTTCAGCATTTTTATTATATCATCTTTCTTACTTCAAGTTACATGTGCTATCTATTTTAGTCATTACTGTTGGAGTTAGTCCTCAACTGGTGTGGTTTATTTTATCTGGAACAGTTCTTTGTTAGGGATTCTGTAGCACCAGTCCATAAAGTTCAAAGAAGGCTGATCCTTGCTAAGATCTACAGGCTTCATTCACTCAAAACCATTTCTTGCCATTGATCTGAAGAACTAGTTGTACACAGGTGACAGTTTAGATATTTCTGAATGCTTATCACCCATATGAAAATATAAGAATTAAATCCTATATATATATTTTTCAATCAATAAAATCCTATCAGAAGATTTGTTGGATAAACACTCATTACAAGGGCAAATACCCTCAAAATACTTGTGGACGTAACTGCAGACCTACCACGTGTTATTATTGGACTATTTATAAAATAACAATAACTCCCTTCACCACTCCCGCAAATTCAAGAACAAGATTTCCGTGAGCCAGTGTGAAACTATTTTCTAACCAATTTTCGTGAGCCAGTGTGAAACTATTTTTTAACCAATTTTCATGAGCCAGTATGAAACTATTTTTTAACCAATTTTCGTTAGCCTGTGTGAAACTATTTTCTAACCAATAAAAGTACTGTTGAAAGTCCCTAAGCAATGTAATTTCTTTCATCTGGTACAGTTTTTTAAACATTATTTAAGGACAATCTTTGAAAATATCAGCAAAGAATAGCTATTTCATTTAAAAAAATGCTAAAAAATGAAATATATATATTTATATTTGATATTTTAATAATAATTTTTAAATAATAAAGTAATTCTAATACATTTTTTGTTTTAAGAAGTATAGTCCACTAGTAATTAAAATTAGGAATAATATTTTTAAATTGTATTTTAATACGCCGTACTCATATTCAAACAACCGTTTTGGAAAAAATCTTTATGTATACAATTACAAATTTGACGGCAAAACAAAAGTGCTGAAAAACTATTTGTCATTGAAAAAACCAGACGACATGCGAAAAACAGATGTCATCAATTGTTGAACAGGCACCCCTACCCCACCTTAACTTAACCTCATTTCTAAAGTAACTCATATTTTGATAAAATAGTTGTCAGTGAAAATGAATACCCTACCACCTCTTGTCAAAATGATTAAATTTCCCTGTATCCTTAGAAACTAATAATAATGTATGTGCTTATAAAAGTCAGTAAATTTCAAAATGAGTTATTGCAAAACTCACTTGAAAATGAAACAGTACTAGGGATTTCAATTAAATTCTATAATTAAATTTGAAATTTTTAGTTTCTGTTTTTGAAACATGGTAATTCCTGTGTAGTGATGAACCATATTTTTAAATTAGTAAATTTATAATATTTATGCTCTGCAGAACTGCATTAAGCACTGTTTTTTTAAAATAAAAATAATTAATAAGAACACCAGATTATAAATCTTATTGTTATTTCTCTTTATTTTAATATATATATGTATGTGTGTGTGTATATATATATATATATATATATATATATATATAGTTTATGCCAAACTAGGTAATCCGTATGGGTAGACCCAAGGAGGATGATATCCGGATAGCTCAATGTAAATTCAGAGCAAATATGTTTGAATAAAAACAGACCACTTTAAGGTTCCATGTAATAAGTTATTTCACCACAACCCTTTTAAAGGGCTCTGGATCATCAGACTTTACTTCCAAAAGTTGAAATGAAAAATGAAAAGAAACTTACACATTTTTGACGGACTGCACCAAGCGTATGTGAAATTAACGAAGTGAGGAAGTGAGGTGGGAAATCTAACTCACTCATGTCTTCTCTCCCACCTCACTTCCTCACTTCGTTAATCTTACTTATAAAACGCAGATTGTGTGTGTGTGTGTGTGTGTGTACGTTTATATATTGGATCGGATTTCCTACATTTTTCAACCAATTTCAACAAAACTTCACAGGACTACGTAAAATTACCTTGCGGTGGTTCTGACAGCACCAAAAATTGAAAAAACACAATTGTTTTTGCACGAAATCAATTTGAAAACATGATAAAACATGATTCTGTCACCAGAATGAAAGAGGGACAACTCATATCGAATTATACTTATTCAGAATTCTTTAAAAATTCCATTTACAAGACAACTGTTTTAAATAAAATTCTATTCAATCGATAGACTCATAACGATTGAAAACAATGATTTTGTTTGAGTTTGGATTTGACCAATTTGTAAAAAAAAAAAAAAAAAAACTAATTGAGACATGCGTGTCCGTCAACCTTAAACAATAATCTTTGT